GTGCCAGCATAAGTTACTGAGTTTAAAATTAGAAAGGTAGCAGTGGATATAATGCTTTGTGGCTTACATGTTTCAATAGCATTAAGATAAACGAGTGTTGACGATCTTGACAGGGTTTCCTCCCCCCACCAGGCTAAGCATCACTTATTATGTAAAATCACTTATTATGTAAAATTTATTCATTTTTTCATGTCTGACTTTAACCACATCTAATACTGTATTACGGCGTGAGCGCAACAGCGACAACTTAAAATCGATGTGTGAGCAGCGTGAGAGGTCGGGTGTTTCATCTGAACCCTTAAAACCTCCAGCAGGCTACGCTGCACTATTGACGTGTTAGCGAGCGGTGCTAACAACTTAGCGACGTGACATGTCTCGGAGAAAGCACAAAAACACGTTGGACGCTTCTTCTAAAGCGGGAAAATAACACCTCTTCTTAAGCAGAGCATGACGTCGCCTCGGCTCGTTCACGGCTGAGCCGGACTGAGCTCGATAACATTGACCCAGCACAGCCACTGGGTCGTTGGAGCTGCCCCGTGACTGCCTGATGGAAAACCAGCGGGTATCATCAGACTCGTAAAGTTTCTTGTTTTTGCTGGGGACCCCCTGTATTTTACCGCTCCCTCCTGCAGTCTTCCCCTATCAACAATTAAAATGATTCTGTAAATCCGTGTATCAATAGAAAAAATCTCTGCCTCTGCCAGCTGCAGTAAATGTAGTCTCCAAATGATAAATAAGAGGTGCATTCATCTGTGTATCTCCTTTGATCCGCATTAGTGATATTCTCAGCACCAGAACACTGAAGCTAAGAAACAGACGAGTTTGTTAGTAATTTTATTTATTAGGTGCATCTGACCTGTTCTATTGTTCTCTGAAATGAGATCAAATCAGTGCTTCTATGGGTTGTCTCCACTCTGCACTGGAAAATTTGACTTCCTAGGGGAAACACTGAATGCACTTTCGGACCTGATCCTGGTAACGGCACTGGCTTCGAATACAGGAATTAACTTAAAGTTTGTCGTTGCCCGTAAAGCCATAAAGGGTAACAGCACATTCACATGCAGACTCATTTCATTACTTCTCCAAATAGATTCATACAATTTTTAATGACACAGAATTTAAATTAGAGGAACAGGTAGGTTTAAACACGACTGTTCATAATATTGTTCCACCGTGCAGCTACCAGTCTCGGCCTAAAGTATTGTTCTGCTTCCACTACACTGTTGAGTCAATATTTAATTCCACATGTCTAAAGAATCTGCAGCATTCAGGAATAAGGACACTCAACCGTTTTACTGAGTTTGTTCCATGTTCAACAACACAAGACTATTCAATAATTAGTAAACTGTATACATTCAATGCAGTTTGGACGTGATTTAGAACAGCTACATTTGATGATCTACTATGTGTTTTTACATATATATTGATTACCTTAAAACGTAGAAGTTAATAAAAAAAATAAACTAAAATGTTTCACCTTAGGCTACAAGAACAACTGAGTTCTTAAATACAATAAAAGTTAAGGGACCAAACAGAAAAGATGCAAAAATAAAAATATCGACGCAAAGCAAGCCATTGGCTGCATTTGTGAAATCTCGTGCAGAAATGTAGGCACACTCAGATCCGTGAACTAGCATCACAGGTGGTTCTGGCACCAGTAAGTGCTGGGAACTGGGTAGAGTGGGGTATCAATAAACAAGGAGAACACTTCTGTGGTATGGCTACAACAAAAGCTGCATGGTAAATGTGCTCAGAATATGAACACAGACTCCTGACGCCTTAGCTGGAGCCAATAAAGTTTTTAATGTATAAACATACCGTTGGAATCAAGGCCCAGACTTCAGTAATGACAAATGCTTCTTTAAATTGCAAGATCTCATTAAAGCACAAAAGATGCACAAACTAAAGGACACTGATGCACTTCCTTGGTCCTTTGTGGTCAAGCTGTCCGTATGACTCATGCCGATCACATGAAAAGTTGACACCAACTATTCAGAATGGCAAACCAGAGTCAAAAATACATCAGCAGGGAGAGCAAATATGTAACTAGGGGGAGTAACAGCAACCCAACAGTGGACCTTGACTTAAATGCAACAGTCACAAGGTGTACGGCTGTGGTTTTACAACGAAGGACGGACAAAGACTAGACAGATTCCAGATGTTGAGTTGGTGGCAGAGTTGCACTAATTGAACACGTAAAAACTGCAAAGACATTTGCAGAAAGTTGGAACGAAATTGGATTGGAAACACGAGGAGAGCATGAAACATTGGCCTCAATGGACTAATCTTGGTTTCACACTGACTTTTACAGGAGAGCTGCGAGCACAGAGCAAGGTCTGTATGGTTTGAGCATTTCACAATCACCACATTCCATCTGTACACATTTTTTCTACACCTGTCTCCGCTTGTCTCCCTCTCGTTTCTCTTTGCTTTGAAAACACCTGTTCCTATACGAGCTGTTGGTGTCTGGTTTGTTCAAGAACAAAGACACACCTGACAAGCCGTTGCAAAAATAGCTAAAGTCACGTTTACAACAGTTGCTAGATGAGCATATGGCCTGAGACTCACCAGTGTCGCTCTGGGCTGGTTGCTGGGCCACAGTCACACTGCTAACACTGTGTCCCATGCTATGGTTCCTGTGAGGCACTGCCTATCCGGAGGCCCGTGACAGGACCACCGCACTCCTCTTTGAGCACACACAGCTGGTAGAACTACAGATCGTCTTGACTGCTTGCTTGATGCGCTTACTTTCTCTTGGCTGTGCAGTCTTACCCGCCCCTTCTCTTCAGTCTGTGTTATTTCGTTTCTCCCTCCCCTCTTCCCTTATCCGGCTTTAAAACACAAACACACTCCTCTCAGTACGTAGGCCCCTCCCTTCATGGATATCAGTATTTACAAATAAGGTAAGCCTGAAAGGTAACGTGGACGTCTAAGATGCCATTCATTCCCAAGAGCCGATTCTTCTAGGGGCAAAGTTCACGGCAGGCAAGTTTTGAACTTTGACAGGTCCAGTCGACAAGCCCTGAGGGGTTTGCAACGCAGTGCACCAGTTTACAGATCAACACAGCAGTGTTATCTGAAGGGGAAGGGGCGGGCTCTGCAAGATGAGACAATTGGAGGTGGAACGTGAGCCTGGTTGAGTTGGAGCTCAGTGCATGAGTAGAGGAAGTGACTCAGCTCAGGTGTACTGTGACTCACTGGCAACATCCAAAAAGATGACTTTAGGTTAGAGTTTTTATGCTGTAAACCTCAAGGGCCAGGTCTGAAAGGGGATGGTTTTAGGACAAACCTTTCTACGATACTCAAGTAAACTATCCAATGCACCCAAGCAACACTGGGAGTGGTCTAAATACCAAAATTAAGCCAAGACATGGCTCTAATCGCACAAGTAGAGCAGAAACAGAAAATCCTGGCCATCTAGTCCTGAACATTTGTCAGAGCAGATTGTTCAGATTAGACTGAGGGAGTCAACAAGTCTTTTTTTATTGAAGAGATAAATAAAAAAAACTTGGGAGGGGGTGTTTTATACTATAAATCAAACAGAATTTAATTTACAGCAGCTAATGGAATTAAACTCAGCTGACAAACAATGGAGTGCAATAATCCATTAATCATGTCTTTGGTTTTCTTCCCCGACCTGACTCTAAGCCATCCTGCATCCCTGTTGCTCCCTCTGCAGTTCATTTAAGGTTACGACACGTCGGGATAACTGGGACATGGGAATGTGTGGAATGTAAGACCACAAGGCAGCTTCTTAGTACAAGGGCAGTAATTAGGACAACATCCTGTGACGACAAGAGCCGATAAACAGGAAGTCTTTTACGTGCAACCTTACATATGATTGTGACAACAAAACAAAACCTTGTTGTATGTCACCACTCGGTTTGAGCTTTCAGAAAAAAAGTGTCTGAGTGGATAAAGCATTTCAGGTGTTTTCCAACTGTGTTCAATTCAGAAACATCACTTCCAAACTGCTTTGGGAAGAAAAAACTGCTTTATTGTGACCACTCCGATGCCAGTGTAGGTACAGAGGAGCGCATCAGCGTTCCTTCATCTGTTCCCACCACGCGCATAATCAACAATGTTTTCATTTAGAAAAATTCTAATATTTACTCACAGATATGTTGAGACTGAACAGCCATCCCAAACTCTTAACCTCAGACGTCTGACACACCGCAGCAATTCAGCAAAGAACGGAGTCCCGGTGCGGTGATACGTGGAGATTATCAAACGATCGAGGTCAATGGTGACAGATTGAAGGCCGTGTGTGGCAGCAGGAGAAACCAGCAGCTCTGCTAGCGTGTAGGCGTGTGTGAGAGTACCTATCAGGTTTCAGTGATAAAAAGCTCGATGCGTCACACTGCCAAGCCTTTAACCTATTCTAATAAAAGCACCCTAACAGACCCATGCAAGGCAGACTGGGAGGTGTTTCAGCACCATCACAACTAAATGCTCATTAGAATGGTAATTTATAGTTCCAAAGAGGCTTTTTTAATCACAACTTTACATCTTCTGAATGGATTGTCCAGCTAAAGTAAAGACCATTGCACGTACATTATAATACAGATCATGGTTTTAATGCCCACACCATGTGACTTAAAACACACAGCTTGCTGTGATGATCCAGCTAAGAGAAGAAACAAGACAAAACTGTTGGTTTGTAGCAACAGATGTTGCTATTTTAAGGAATAATAACTAAAATCAGGTTGAAACCGTTTATCGGTTTATTATAACCAGATATATTCAGTTTATTAGTTATGTTTTAGAGTAAAATCAATTCTTCTACTCAGGAAACCGATTTTTGCAGCAACTTTTGTGGGTCAGAAGCTGTACAGTTACTGAATATATGTCCCTCATCATCATCATCATCATCATCATCGTGTTTGGAGCCTTTTGCTGTAAAATGGAGCTAAATAAATAAATCACAATAACCTCTTCTAAAAACATGTTCAGCATTAACCAGTCAAACTTGGATGCATTTCCTAAAAGTTTGTTCTTACCAGGATTTTCCATCACAGTGTCCCGAACTCAGTAGTCAGCACCTGAAACCAAACCAACAGGATCGATGTTAATGTAGAAATTTGCAGGAACACTTCTCCTTATAGCCACAATTATCCATGATGTTCTGTATTTAGCTGCAGAAATAAAGTCTAACACATTGTCTTATAGAAGACGAATGTTATTTAATCATCAAAAGGATAGCTGGCAGATTTTAATGCCAAGATGTAGGGCTGTCGCGGTAACTGCAAAAATGAAATATCGCAATATGAAGAAGCCCACCGCGCTGCATCATGGGCCACCGCGATTACTGAACTTGATTCAACTCAATGATGCATGTTGAGAAGGATGGCTGCACTGGTATCAAAACGAAACGTTACTTCGCTCCTTTGGGAGCGCTTTGGTTTTCAGTACGTCAGCTGCTGCGCAGCCAGAGTCCTTGGCCGAGACAGAGCTGCCACCAGCGGCAAAAAAATAATAATAAACGCTCGGAGACCTCCTGAAGTCCCGGACAAGCACTGCTTCTGCAACCGTCCTGAAGAGAGTTTGAGCCGAGCTGGAGCTCACTCGCTACCTGCAGGAGGAATGCATCCACCCTAAAGAAACCCCCCTGACATGGTGGAGCAACAACCGGGAGAGATTCGCCAGAGTCGCACGCACGCAGGTACGTGTGCGTGCAACGAGCGCACCATCCGAGAGGGTTTTCAGTGTTGCTGCAAATGTTGCCACCCCTCTCAGATCCTCTCTGAAACCGTATATGGTTAACATGCTAGTTTTCCTTGTGGGTAACAAGGACGTGACCGAGCTATAAAGCACCGTCATTCGTGTGTGTGAAAGTGAAATGATAGTGTGTGCCCCCCCCCCCGGCGCGCGCGCGCCCGGTGCATGTAATTTTTTTATGCTTGATTTTAAACAACTAAACAAAATGGGGACTTGTTTCTTATTTGTTAGATACTGCAGCCAAATTTGCATTTAAAAGTTTAACCGTCTCCTGAATTTTGTTGTTTTTAAGTTCAGTCGGACTCCGACTGTCGGAGAAACAAACGTTACTGCGATCTGTGTTGTTACTGCCCTTTGATCTGCATTCAGTAAAGTGTTATTGAAGAAGGCACGGCAATTTTTAACCTTTTTTAAATGTGTAAACATTATGTTTAGATAGTACTGCAATAAAAAAAAGTGCTGCAATAATATCGCACACCGCAATATTAAGCCACCCTGAATCACCGCAGGAGGAATTCCTCAACCGCGACAGCCCTACCAAGATGTCTCTAAATCAGACTGTAGTTGAAGCTGTTGATGTAGAGTGAGATGTTTAGAGTATTTTGTCCAAAATTTCTTGATAAGAAAAACTCAAAGCTGCAATTTGACGTTATTTGCATAAAGCTGCAATGACAAGTTAGCTTAAAACTGTACAACTTTCTAACATAATATAGTTATAAAAATATTGTGGAGAATAAAAAAATAAATAAAAGAAACAACAAAAATGAATGAAGTGGTTCTTGCATTTGTCTAAAAACCTCCACCAATAACACCTTTCGGACCAAAAGCAACCATTTGACCCTCCGGCTGTCGTTGTCGCCAAACCACCAAACTTCTGTGTCCTCCATTCCTTACACTCTCATATTTAGCTACAGAACACCACTCAAAAAATCAGAGAAGAGAAACAGCTGGCTGCTACCACTTCAACTTCAGGACCAACTAAACTACCAGAGTCCCAAAAAGAAAAACCATTTGAAGTCACGGACAACAAAAAGATGTTTGGATCTAGAAACAGTGACGCCATCTCGTTTCGTCCAGCATTGTGGGTTTCTGGTTCCGCCAGATGTGTCTCAGAGATGACACCGGAGGGGAAAGGTGAGTGTTTCATGATCGTGTTTGTGCTTAAAGCATAACTTGTTTGCAGATTCACCCTCTCTGCCTGTTTTTAAGAGCAGATTGAAGACCCATTTTTACACCATGGCATTCCACTGGCCTTCTTAGTCGTTCTTATCTAGTTTTTTTAACTAATATCTTTATTGTTTTAAACCATTTCGTTTCATCTTAGTCACTGCATGGTTGCTGTTGTTTTACTTTTTATATCTTTGTTGTGTGTAAAACGCTTTGGTTCAATCTCTCGTTGATGGAAAGCGCTTTATAAATAAAGATGATAACAGCTTCAAACGCATTTAACTAATAGTAATCTGAATTGGACAGTGATTTGTTTTACATGTTATTGAACACATTCGTAACGAAATAAGGGTCGTATCTGCTTCTACATCGTTCCCTTTATATTAACGCAGCCTGCTATTCTTCAACAAAGTCTCAGAGCAAGCAAAATATTTGGTTTTCTGGAACTTTTATCAGAGATACAGAAAGTCAAATGTACAAATAAGTTTAAAGTTTTGTCCAGCCAGTGATGTTGAACATGCTCAGTAGTATTCCCTCACTGTATGTAAATATCATGGACCAGTGGATAATTTGTTAACAAAATTAGATTCAGGAGTTAGCAATAAGTGGAAACTGGGAGTCTATGAAAGTGAAGCCATAAAAAAGTTAAACTAGATTTAAGACACAATTGAGCAGATCATAAAAAACAAGCAGGAAAAGTATGTAAAGCCAACTTTGCTGATTTGTCTGTTTGTGCATACACAAGTTCACCAGAAGTGATTCACCATAACAGAAACGAGTCTAGAAAAGATCACACATCTAAGCAATTCAACTTCTAACTAACTGAAACTCTTTCACCTTGTTGCTCATGATGCCATCATAAAGAGAACGCACATAAAGATCATGGAAGATCAGCGAGGACAAACACTGAAGTCATCTTCAGCTAGCAGAAAATCTAATGAACAAGCCCAGAGGTTGCTGGAAAAAAACTGATGAAAATGACAGCTTGAAGCAAGATACAATCCATACAAAGCATCTTAATAAAGCATCTGTTTATTAATGTGTCTTTCAGTGTTGGCTGGTGTAGAAGTCTTTAATTGATGAAATGAAGACCACGGAGCCACTTGTTCATTTTCACAAGACTTCTGTCTCTCTTCCTTTATTCTTTTCCTGCCTCGGCACACATTCCTTTCTTCTCTCACTCTCAGTCCCAAGGCGCCCCCTGGAGGCTCCATCCTGAACACCTCTACACCTCCTCCTTTTAGCTGGAAAAACTTTACTTGTAAGATAACCTTGTACCCAACATAACAGTATCATTCTAACAGAAACCTGACTTATAGTCCAGCGTTTACAACCAAGCATTTTCAACTCTTTTGTTTAACAATATAATCTAACATAAACACCTTTGTTTTAGAAACATCACCCTTTTGTTATTAAATGTAGGGGTCAACTAAAACGAAAATTTTCACAAGTCCAGTCTCTCTGGTGGGCGGGAAACCCTTCCCGACGTGGTCACAGCGGTACCCGGGAGTCTCTGTGTCAGGTCTGACACCGGCTCCTCAGAGGCTTGACAATGACACTCCCAATTAGGGTTGTCACGGTAACCGGTATAGCGGTAAACCCCAGTAAAAAAGTTGACAATAAAAATAACCGTCCAGTTTTAAAAAAAACTAAATTATCTCGGTGGGTTTACCGTGGCCACGGTTTAGGCGCGGTGACCCTTACCAGCCACCGTCGCTTCTGCTGAAGTTCCCGCGCACACACACTTTTTAGTTTGCAACCAAAACTTTGAAGCTGAAATAATGGGCAAAGGAGGAGACGGCAGCGCCCAGGACATCCATCAGCCCTCAAAGAAGACTAAATCGGAAGTATGGGCATAGTTTGGATTTCTGAAAAATGCTGAGGGACAGTTAATAGAAGACGGCTATCCCGTTTGCAGAACGTGCAGGAAACAAGAGTCTGCAAAAGGCAGCAACACTTCGAATCTAATGGCACATCTGAGTGACCATCACCCACGTCTCCACAGCCGGTGCAAGGTAAGTTAACATTAGCATTTTAGCTTAAATGCATGACGTGAGGACTTTTGGCTGAGGGAGACTACAACGAGTCACTATATCCTGCAGCCGCAGCGTCCTCTGGCAGCATTTAAACCGTGTCACGGACACCCTGTTGCTGGATGAAGCATCTTATTTGTTGATGATGAAGAGAAATATACAATTAGTTCCTTGTCATTGATTTGTTTACTTATTCAATGCCATTTATACTTGAACATTTGGATTTGATTACATAGTGTAGTAGTTATTTTAGTAATTTGTTTAAAGTGGCTATTTATTTTAAATACATATTTTTTAAGGTTGACTTGTACAGTGCTCAAGTCAAGTGTGGACTGGAGTTTTAGATTTTCATTTTGATAATGAAGAAAACAAGTATATGAGAAAACAAGTGGTGTTTCTCTGATTTGTTTACATATTGTTTATGTTTTGAATGTTTGGATTTGTATCATTTAAACCTGCACTGACTACTGTAACATGTTCCAGAAAAATAAGCTATTTGTTCCTTTACTTGTGAAAAGTTGCACTTTTGCTAAGGCTTTGTGTTATTTTAGGTTTAATAAACACTGTTAAACCTTTTCTAAACTATTTCAGTTTGTGTAGAACAGGACTATCAATGCTTTCTGAACATATGCAACGCCGTTTAAAAAATACCGCGATAATACCGAAAACCGTGATAATTTTGGTCACAATAACCGTGAGGTTAAATTTTCATACCGTGACAACCCTACTCCCAATCGATAAGATGAGGATAATTTATTAGCATTTAATACAGCTGTGTAATGACGTATAAATTATTAATATCAAAAAATTGTCTGATAGAATGTTTAACATGCAACAAATGACTTATTTTGGCATACAAACAACCAATTTGTAACCAAAAACTAGGCTATGTAAAATGTGAATGAACTTTTATAAGAAACTTTGGTAAGTTTCAGATTTCAATTCATTAAATAACATCGATGGGGGGGGGGGGGGGGGGGGGGGGCTAAAAATGCAGGCTGCCTAGTGTAGTCCATTTATTTAATCTGGCTCTGCTCAGAGCAGGGTAGCTCTGTCTCTGGGAGTACAGTCAGGTGAGCCCTGTTTCTTCAAAAACTCCCTCACTCGGTTTCCACTACATAAGA